TGTCAAATTATATGCAAACGACCCCGGAATAGAATTTTGATGATTCCAACAGCTCCGTATGGTATTTTGGACTTAGGAGCGTGATCGAAATTTTATTTGGAAGTCCATAGTGGAATCAGGCTTGAAATGCCGAAAGTTGAATTTTTTGGAAGTTTGACCGAGGGGTTGACTTTTTGATATCGGGGTCAAAATTCGATTCTGAAAATTTTCATAGCTCAGTTATATCATTTATGACTTGTGTGCAAAATTTGAAGTCATTCCGAATTGATTTGATGTGTTTCGACACAAGATATAGAATTTAAAAGTTCAAAGTTCATTGATTTTGATTTGAGGTGCGATTCGTCGTTTTGATGTTGTTTGATGTAGTTTGAAGCCTCGACTAAGTTCGTATGGTATTTTGGGACATATTGGAATAATTGGTTAAGGTCCCGAGGGTCTCGGGTGGATTTCGAAAGGTAAACGGAATGGATATCGGACAAAGAGTGCTGGAAATTTCTGTTGCAGAAATTTCGTGCGTGGAGCCAACTTTGGAAGCTTATATCTCGCAATTCATAAGGAATCAGAACATTTTCAAAACATAAAAGTTGTAGTCGTTTGATTATAGTTTCCATAAAGTTAAACCATTTATTATTTGGATATTTGTACAGAAAGTTATAATGGATTGAATGAAGGCTGGTAGAGCAGTTCTAAGTTGCTCCGACACGCCAATTTCGGTGCCGTACCGGTGTCGACACGACACTGATACGGGTAAGGGTGTGGGATCTGTGTCGGATCCGGTCAGACTAGTTCGGGTGCGTTGACCAAAAATTTGGGAAAATTAATTTCCCTAAGTAAAGATTTGAAGAGATGGAAAACGAAATACCTTCAATTTCGCTGCTATGTAGTAATTTATACTAGTCCTTTTTTCTCCTTTGAAGCTTTTTGTCTTGGTCAATCTTTGAGTTTCCATGCTGCAAGTTTCTGAAATCAAGAGCTCTGTGTTTTTTTTTAGGGCAGAGAAGCTGTTGATGGGTGGACTACTGGACTGAGGCATATTGGGAAGGGCTCGAATGGGTGTGTTGTACTGGAAAAAACCAGAGACATGGAGAAGATTTTGTTGGAGAAGATGATTCAGAAGGACTGAAGAAAGGCGCAGAGAAGAACGACTGAAGAAGAAGACCTAGGAACTAATTAGGAGAACTAGTCTGTTAATTGATACATATATTATAGTATTTTTTTCACGTTAGTTTATGAGATAAATATTACAAATATTATATTCAAAAGTTTTAAGTTTATAAAAATTAGAGTTTTAGTTGTACCAAAATAATTAGAGTTTTAATCAAAATAATAAATAATTATTTAATTGTAAACTAAATTTTCTTTTTTTATGCTTTAAAGGCACACATTTTTTTATGTGAGTAAACTTCATATATATTACAAATAAGTATTTACTCTAAATAAACAAATTCTATTAATTAACCTAATAATACTATTTATAAATATTTTTTCTCTATTAATTAGCATATTATTTTTTTGATAGAATATGACCGCGCGAAACCTAGAAAAATTTATAAATTGTACATATTAAAATTGACCCCTTTGTTCTCCATTATATGCTATGTTGTGATTTGTGACACATATTGTAAGGGTAATTATAAATCACATTATTTGAGAATGAACTAAAATAATTTAGAAAAATGTCAAAGAAGAATAATCGCGAATTTTAGAAACCAAATCAAGAATTAGAGCATTTAAGAACACTTCATTTATATTAGTTAAAGTGAATATGAATTATTTGTATTCTTATAGTATATTTGATTAGGACCGCCAATTAATATTGAGCTATCGAAATACTTGAAATATAATTAATTATTAATGGATAAGTTATATAGCTTTCCAACAAATCACATTAATCGACTAGAGTAGGAAACTCTTCTTGTTAGATTGTTTGTTCTTCCTATAAAATCAAGTGGGTAAAAATCTCATTTAATAGTATAAGTTTTGATATAACGAATTGCACAAAGTTTAATCACATATTTCTTCGGGACTACAACTTAACTTTATCCAGTTAACCATTAATAAAATATTACGATATATTTAGGGCATTAATGACATTACGATATATCCAGTTAACCATTAATGACATTTATTTCACTTTATTAGTATAAGTTTTGAAATAACGAGTTGTACAAAGTTTAATCACAAATTTCTTCGGGACTACAACTTAACTTTATCCAGTTAACTATTAATAAAATATTATGATATATTTAGGGCATTAATGACATTACGATATATTCAGTTAACCATTAATGATATTTATTTCATTTCATTAGTATAGGTTTTGATATAACGAATTGCACAAAGTTTAATCACATATTTCTTCGAGACTACAACTTAACTTTATCCAGTTAACCATTAATAAAATATTACGATATATTTAGGTCATTAATGACATTACGATATATCCAGTTAAACATTAATGACATTTATTTTATTTAATAGTATAAGTTTTGATATAACGAATTGCACAAAGTTTAATCACATATTTCTTCGGGACTACAACTTAACTTTATCCAGTTAACCATTAATAAAATATTACGATATATTTAGGACATTAATGACATTACGATATATCCAGTTAACCATTAATAACATTTATTTCACTTTATTAGTATAGGTTTTGATATAACGAATTGCACAAAGTTTAATCGCATATTTCTTCGGGACTACAACTTAACTTTATCCAGTTAACCATTAATAAAATATTACGATATATTTAGGGCATTAATGACATTACGATATATCCAGTTAAACATTAATGACATTTATTTCATTTAATAGTATAAGTTTTGATAAAACGAATTGCACAAAGTTTAATCACATATTTCTTCGGGACTACAGCTTAACTTTATCCAGTTAACCATTAATAAAATATTACGATATATTTAGGGCATTAATGACATTACGATATATCCAGTTAACTATTAATGAAATTTATTTCATTTCATTAGTATAGGTTTTGATATAACGAATTGCACAAAGTTTAATTATATATTTGATTAGGGCTAAAATATAGATTTATCTAGTTATCTATTAATAAGGCATACGGCACTATGATGATATTATTCTTAAATAAATCACATTTATCACATTAATAAATGTCTATTTAATGTTAGTATATGCGTTAGTCTATATGTGTCAGTATATGTGTTAGTCTATAAATCACATTAGCATTAGTCTATTTAATATATGTTTATTTAGTTGTTCCCCCACCGTTGGTTTTCCCCCACCTTTGGTTTCCCCCCCAAAAGTACAAAAGTGACCCATAAGGCTACTAATTCCTTTCAAAAGTATTTTCTCACCAAACAAAGTCCCTCAAAAGTCCAACCGCCTGCTGCCTTCATCTTGTTTACCATTCCAAATGCCTACTGCCTCCAAAGTCCATTCCATTTTGCTGCATCTTCATCTTCTTCTTTACCATATTATTTAGCTCTTAAAAATGTCTTCTTCTACCTCCTCAACAGCAAATCAAAAGGGGAAAGGTTTGTTAAGGCCAATAAAAAGTGTAGGCTCTGACTTTGATGATAAACCTCTTTGGAACCATGTCAAAGTCCTTTCACTTACTCCAAATGGTGGTAGAAATAGAATATGGTCATGTAACTATTGTAACAAAAGAGTTACGGGATCATATTCTAAAGTCAAAGCTCATTTGTTAAAAATCTCTGGTCAAGATGTTCAAATATGTAAAGAGATAAGCAAAGAAGTTTGTGAAGCTTTGAAGCAAGAACATGAAGAAGCTGAAAATAAAAAAGCATCTGTACAACTTGATGCGAGGAAAAAGTCGGATTACGTATCGCTTCCTGAAGGGTCGGATTTATCGCATTTTAAAAAAAGAAAAGGTTCAAACGTTGGAACTCTAGAGAAGTCGTTCGGCATTGAGAATAGAAACATCGCTGACAAAATGGTAGCCCGCATGTTCTACGCTTCAGGTTTATCTTTTAATTTTGCCAAGTCTCCTTATTTTAGAAAGTATTCAGAGTTTTTGGCAAAGACTTCTTTACCCGGTTATGTTCCGCCAAAGTACAATAGGTTAAGAACTACCCTTTTAGCTCAAGAAAAAGCTCATATTGATAGAAAATTGCAACCTATTAAGGATGCATGAAAGAGAAAAGGGTTGTCTATTTGTTCCGATGGATGGTTGGATATTAAGAGGCGACCATTGATAAATATAATGGCGGCTTCTAGTGGTGGTCCAATATTTTTAAAATCAATCAATTCAAGTGGCGTTGTGAAGGGTGGAGAATATATAGCTAATTTGTTCATTAAATCAATTGAGGAAGTTGGTGCAAGTAATGTTGTTCAAGTTATCACCGATAATGCAAGTAATATGAAGCTTGCCGGTTCTATGGTTGAGCAAACTTATCCACATATATTTTGGACACCATGTGTTGTTCATTGTTTGAACCTTGCACTAAAAAGCATGTGCCAACCTTCCGAAAAATCAACTCAATTTATAAATTGCAAATGGATTTTAGATTTGATTGGTGAAGTTAGTAGCTTGAAAAATTTTGTGTTTAATCATGATATGGCTCATGCTCTTTTTCAAAAGCATTCAGCGTTGTCTTTGTTGAAAGTTGCCGAAACGAGATTTGCATCTCATGTTGTCATGACTAGTCATGTTCATCAAGTGAAAGCATATTTGGAAAGAATGGTAATGGATGATGATTGGAGAAACTATAAGGGAGATAAAGTGATTGAAGTTAAAACGCGTGAAATTAAATCCCTTGTAATGAATGACGAATGGTGGGATAAGATTGAGTACTTTTTAAAGTTTACCGAACCAATTGTGTCTATGCTTAGAAGTGCCGATCTTGATGCTCCAAAGTTGCATCTTGTTTATGATATGTGGGATACAATGATCGAAAAAGTGAAAGCATTTATCTTTGAACAAGAGGGAAAGGATCTTATTGTCGGGCAATCAGACTTTTTTTTATACAATTTAAGAAATTCTTGTTGTTAGGTGGAATAAGAGTAACACCCCTTTACAGTGTATGGCACATTCTTTGGTACCAAAATACTACCATGAATCATTCTTAGGTACCAAAATACTACCATGAATCATGGCTTAAAGGGGAAGGCAATGGGGTTCGAAGGCTTGCTCCAAATGAGGATAGCGAGATTTCCTTAAATAGAGTTAAATGCTTTTAAAGATACTTTAAAGATTCAAATGATCTAAAACAAGCATTTTTGGAGTATGGAGCATTTGCAAGTGGTAGTGGTTTCTTTAGTGAGCCTCATGTGGTTGAGGCTATGATGTACGAGGAGCCTCTATCTTGGTGGGCTAACCATGGTATAAACGCTCCACTTTTGCAAAGCTTGGCGTACAAATTGCTTTCACAACCAGCTTCTCCTTCTTGTTGCGAAAGGAATTGGAGCACCTATTCGTTGATCCATAGTATCAAAAGAAACAAGTTAGAGACTTCTAGAGCCGAAGATCTAGTTTTTGTGCACTACAATCTTCGTTTGCTTTCTCGTCAAAAAGAAACATATACAAGTGGCCTAAGCAAGTATTGGGATGTGGGTATGTCTATAATTTATGTTTTCTTGAATTTATATTTCCTTTAGTATTTTTTTATTTTTTAAATTATTTTTATTTTAATTTTGCTTTAGGTGGAGATCGTTTTGATGTTGATGAAGCCACCAATGATCTACTTGACTTATCAATCGATGAACCTCAACTAGAAGGAGTCATATTTGAAGAGGAGATTGAAGATGTGCAAGAAATTGATCTTGAAAATATTGAGGAAGAATGCTAAATGTTATTGTTCAATTGTTAAAACTTAGTAGTTATCCTCTCCTACTTTTTGTTAGTTTATATAGTTCAATGTTAATGTAACTTTATATGGGAATGCTCGAATGGTGATTGCAATTGTAGACTTGTAGTTTATTTTTGCCTTTTTGGTGTTCATACTTATTTTGATTGACTTAATGAGAATGGCTAACTCTTCATAATTTGTGACTTGTGAGAGAAATGCTAATTGCTAAATAATACTTACATCTTTTATTCTCTATATTCTTATCAACGTCATGTTCTTCGACAAAAACAGTAAAAGCCTAAAAGGTATGTTTTCAATTTTCTTTATCTTTATATATCCAGCTCTTTTACTTATGTAATTATATGATATTTATTATGTTTTAATATACTTTGTGTAACCACTAACTTGTAAGAGAATATGAGAATGGAAGAAAATCAAGAAATCGTGCCTACAACTTGAGAATAAAAATTCACACTTTACAAGTTATAGGTAAGTATTCCATAAAGTTTCTCATAATGTAGAGATATTTTTATTTTTGAATTAATTTTTGTCGGATCCCCGCACCCGTGTCGGTTCTAAGATCCGTATCCCCGAATCTAAAAATTTCCATCTCAAAGGATCCGACCTCTAGATCCGCGCCCGTGTCGGACACCCGTACCCGTGTCAGAGCAACTTAGGTGCAGTTTCGCCAGAAATTTCGTCAGAAATTTCTGATGCGTGGAGCCGACTTTGAAAGCTTATATCTCGCAATTCATAAGGAATCAGAACATATTCAAAACATGAAAGTTGTAGTCGTTGGATTATAGTTTCCAAAAAGTTAAACCATTTATCATTTGGACATTTGTACATTAAGTTATGATCAATTGAAGGAAGGCTGGTAGAGCAGTTTTGGTGGACTTTTAGTGACGAAAAATGGACTTTTAGTGACGGATTGGCAGAAACTTAAGGACCAAAAATGGTCAGTTCATTCATTTCGTTTTGAATTTTTTGAGCACGGTTCTTAGACGATTTTTGGGCGATTTTCACGGGAAAACATTGGGGTAAGTGTTCCTTATCCTATATTGATTATATTTCATGATTCCATACTCATTTACATCATGAATACGTGAATTTATGGAAGAAAAATCAAGATTTTTGCAAAATCTTCCAAAAACAAAAATTTAAGATTTGGAGGTCGAGTTGTTATCGTATTTTGGTAAAATTGGTATAGGTGAACTCGTAATTGAATGGGTTATCGAATTTTATAAGTTTCGCCGGATTCAGAGATGTGGGTCCCACGGGCAAATTTTGAGCTAATTTTGGATTTTAATGAAAATGTAATATTTTTTTATGAAATTAATTGCTATAATTTTTGTTGACTATATCGAATTAATTATGACTAGATACGAGTCGATCAGAGTTGAAAAATTGAGGAAAAAGCATAATACTTGATTAAATTGGAGCAAGTCGAGGTAAGTGACTTGTCTAACCTTGTGTGGGGGAAATTCCCCCTAGGATTGATAATTGTAATGTGTGAAAAGTCTTGTACACGAGGTGACGAGTGTGTACACGTGCTAAATGTGAATGATTATATTTTAAATTGTGTAGATCACTGTTATGCATTAATTAAATTATTTTATTTTGTTATATTCTTCATTATTGATTTAATGTTTATATTTTAAATTTGTTTGACCTTTTTCGGCTAATTATTTTTTTTGTTTAGTTGGAACTTGGTTTCTTTTATTCTGTGTATTATTTGAAGGTTGATTTTCTTTAAATTAAATATTATTAATA